GTGAATAGATGTGGTATCTGACGAGCGAAAGCAAGTCAGATACCACAACTATTGACGAGTTTCATAAAATTGGTTTTACACGGGGGCGAGTTTAGTATTTTATTTATTACTTGCCATTTATAACGTTTTTAGAATTATACTGTTGATAGTGAATAGGCTGACTCCTACACGATCCACGGCATAATCCAATTGAGTTTAACACAATAATACTTCAAACACGTCAAAAGTTGAAACGTATGAATTTAATACCATACCCAACGGCCCACCTTTAGAATTCAGGCGTCCGTTCCCCAAAATTATCGTAGCGTTAAGGTTATCGCAACTCACATACTTTAACTTGGACCAGCGACTGTCGTTGCGCTACAGTACGATCGCCTTGTGGAACGGGGCCTTGCAGCTCAAGGTTTACAATCACGTCACAATACCCGATGACGTAATTTGTGGAATTTTGTTGCAAGATCCTTGAGCGAAACAATGCCATGTGACGTCAGCCTAGCAACACGGTTGCTGGGGTCATCGAGTGTGCATAAGCTCCTCTCAGTGATCTATCATCTCCACACGCAGTGTCGTTGAATAAGCCAAGGGATGTTGAGAGCTTTCAATATTTGTTCGTGAAACGTGTTCCGAGAGTACATAAGCACGCGTTTTGGTATTACACAATGTGTAATACAGCCGTATGTTTATTAAACAGGTGATCTCTTCACGGGCAAGTAATAATGGGTTTTATTAATTCCCAGCAACCCATGCTTGTAGTAGGAGGGTACTCGATTGATCGGGTGGTCAGTCTCAGTGACTTGGTTGCATGTCGTCTTACATAACATAAATCACTGGTTTGCCTGGTCCAGATTCCATTATTTACAGGCCACCGTCATACAGCTGGAATATTACTGAGAGCAGCTTAAACATGGTTTTATCTAGACCTGCTCAGAAGCTGATACTCGGCCCAATGTCCGCAGTAAATGTCTGTAAAAATACAGGGATTTATCTAGTTCAGCTCAGAGGCTGTGATTCGGCCCCAAGTCCGCAGCAAATGTCTGTAAAAACACAGGGATTTATCTAGTTCTGCTCAGAGGCTGTGATTCGGCCCCAAGTCCGCAGCAAATGTCTGTAAAAACACAGGGATTTATCTAGTTCTGCTCAGAGGCTGTGATTCGGCCCCAAGTCCGCAGCAAATGTCAGTAAAAACACAGGGATTTATCTAGTTCTGCTCAGAGGCTGATACTCCCTAGGGAGTATACAATGTTCTGACTGTTGTCGTGTTGTGACTGTTGTAGAGCCGAAGCCCCAGTGGAAGCAGGTCCCGTCCAACAACCTGCCTGTGGGGTGGGAGAAAAGGCTGGACAAAAGCACCAACAGATACTTCTACATCAACCACAACGTCGGCACAACGCAGTGGGAGCCGCCCGTCAACGCTCAGCCAGCTTCTACAGCAGGTACGTGGTCAGTCACATTACAAGTGGCCCAAGTGGCCCAAGAGGCCTGTTCTCTTATAGTGCCACACTTCCCAATGTAGAATTGCTTCCCTTAGGCAAGCCGGGATCCTGTGTTCTAGGTTCAAATCCCAGTCTCGCCTTTATCATTAGCACCAGACCCATGCTCATGGGTTTCACCAAAGTGGTAAACGACTAGGTCCTGCGTCACCTAGGGCTTTCCTCCTACATTAAGCTCTAAGCTGTGTCATAAGAAGTGACTAACGGGATTGGGTGGTCAGGCTCGCTGACATGGTGGATGCATGTCATTGTGTCCCAACTGCGTGGATCAATGCTCATGATGTGATCACTCGAATGTCTGGTCCAGATGTGATTATTTACAGACAGCTGTCAAATAGCTGGAATATTGCTGAGTGCGGCGTTAAACGACAAAAAAACATATGTAAGCTGTGACATAACTTAAACTTACAAACATTAAAAAATATTACCTTTTGAAAATCACTACAGAATTTAAACATGAACTGATATATTGGTAGGCATGGCGTGTATCCTATCATCAGGTGGAAACTTGTGGTGTATTGACAACTAGGGGAGTAACGATACAATGATGTAGTATTGCATCCCAACCTAAGGATCGTGAAGATTCGGGGTAGATTAGGTCTTCAGCAACCCATGCTTGCCGTAAAAGGTGAATCTGCTTGTCGTAAAAGGCAACTAACGGGATCTGGTGGTCAGGCTCACTGACTTGGTTGATGCATGTCATCGATCCCATTTGCGTGGATCGATGCTCATGATATTAATCACTGGATAGTCTGGTCCAGACTCGATTGTTTACACAGACCGCCATCATATAGCTGGAATATTGCTGAGTGTGGCGTTAAACAACAAACCAACCAACTTCAATTAAACACTAGGGGAGTAACGATACAATGATGTAGTATTGCATCCCAACCTGAGGACCGTGAAGATTCGGGGTAGATTAGGTCTTCAGCAACCCATGCTTGGTGTAAAAGGCGACCATGCTTGTCAATTAGAGGCGACTAACGTGGTCAGGCTTGCTGACTTGGTTGATGCATGTCATTGTATCCCAATTGTGTAGATCGATGCTCATGATGTCAATCACTAGATTGTCTGGTCCAGACTACCAATTGTATCACACCCATTGTATCGGATGTACCTTATTGCTCCCCCATGTATCGTTCCACCTCCAGTAAAGGCCTCCATTTTGCAGGTACGTTCACCACCAAGCTGAAAGAGGAGCCTGCCCAGTCGTCCAGGGGCCTGAGTCGATCCTTCTCATCTCCTGACATCATGAAACAGCTAGTTGAAGAAGGAGACAAGCCGTTCCATATGCCCAATATTGACCGTGCCAGCAAACCCTTACAGAGGTAAGACTGAGTGAGTGAGTGAGTATGGTTTTACGCCGCTTTTAGCAATATTCCAGCAATATCAAGGCGGGGGACACCAGAAATGGGCTTCACACATTGTACCCATGTCGGGAATCGAACCCGGGCCTTCGGCGTGACGAGCGAACGCTTTAACCACTCGGCTACCCGACCGCCCCACAGAGGTAAAACATGGGGCTGAAAATAAATAATTGTCTTGGTTCTCAGGCATCCCCTGCATCATCATAAAGTCGACCTCAAGTTTTGTTTATATTTCCATTCCCCCCCCCAAAAAAAATCTTGAAATATTCTGCGTCTCCAATACACGACCCTGGCACTGAAATGCTACAATACTTAAGAACAACATGATTTCGTCAAAATTATTGTAAACCAAATTTTTGTTACAAACTTGCTTTAAGAACAAAAAAGAAGAAAAAAACACTGTCGGCCTGCACTGTATTTCAAAAGCCATTGCCTGAGAACCAATTCTTTTATTTAATTAAGCCTTGGTAAAGCTGGAGGACGACATCAAACTTAAGTAACTAAAGAAATGTTGACACATGAGAAAGGATGCTTCAGACAGACATGTGTCTGATGCTGGGGGCCCAGATGGTAGTCAAAGGTACATTGCTGTGCAGAGTAGCATCCCTTAGGCGTACCAGGAACCTATGAATTGAATCCCATTATTTGTGACAATGCTATGGGCTCTTCACACAAAAAATAGAAAACTTGAAACAGTGAGACTAACTGAAATAGTTTCCTTTATATCCATGGACCCGTGAAGATCCGGGGTAGAATAGATCTTCAGCAACCCATTCTTGCCGTAAAAGGTGACTATGCTTGTCGTAAGAGGCGACTAACGGGATCGGATGGTCTGGCTCGCTGACTTGGTTGATGCATGTCATCAATCCCAATTGCGTGGATCGATGGTCATATCAATCACTGGATTGTCTGGTCCAGACTCGATTATTTACAGACCGCCATCACATAGCTGGAATATTTCTGAGTGCGGCGTTAAACAACGAAGCAACCAACCTCTATGTCCATGCTCCAGTGTTCTATAAAACTTTTAACTCCACTCAGTCAATGTTTCGATGTTTAGATTTGAGCCTCCGGTCAGTAAGCCGGTCCAGAGGCAGTATGTGGTGAAGAGGCGAGACCTCAACCCCGTCTACGGCAGTGTGGTAAGTTACACTGTGTTTAAGAATCACACAGATGACATACATCCTCCATTAGCCAGTGTAGTATGTGTAAATACTCTTGACCAATTCTTTCCCATAGCTTCATTTTGAGACATGACGTTACAAGAAGCTGTCTTTCACGAGCGAAAGAAATTCTGTCCTTCATTGCCGATAAGTTGTGAGTGAGTAGTTGGGTCAGGGTCAGAAATTTGCACTAGTCCTGTAGTCTTTGGCAAATTGCTGAATAGTTAAGGTGTCAGAAGGACTAATGGCAATTTGCCCTTCTTAAGTCCTTGGCAAGAAGCTATAGATTTCACGAGCGAAAGATATTCTGTCCTTGATTGCCGATAAGTTGTAAGTGAGTGAGTTAGTTGGGTCAGCGTTAGAAATTGGCACCAGTCCTGTAGTCCTTGGCAAACTGCCCAATAGTTAAGGTGTCATAAGGACTAGTGGCAATTTGGCCTTCTAAAGGGTTTTGCTATAGGTATCATTATGAAGACAAGTGGACTGAAAATGTTAGTTTCTACCGCTGTGGGTTTTACGCCACTTTGAGCACTATACCAGCAATATCACGGGGGGACACCAGAAATGGGCTTCACACATTGTACCCCTTTTGGAATTGAACTGGGTCTTTTGCATGATGAGTGAACGCTTTAACCACTAGGCTTCCCACCACCCCTTTGCCGATAAGGGCCCAGTCATCTTAGGCGGCGCAATTCGCGTCACTTGGACATGCCAGATACCTATGATTGTGGGTTTGAATCCCGGTTTGCCCCGATTATGTTTTCTAGGTTTGTCATCACCATACCTGTGCTCGTGGGTTTCACCGAAGTGGTAAACGTCTTAGACCTGCATCACTTCGGACTTTCCTCCCATGTTAAGCTGACAGGCCGTTATATACCTGGAATACTGTTAAAAGCGGTGTCCAAAATTTAGAAAAAAATACTAATTTCACAATTTTGTCTACCAAGGGCACATAGTTTGAAATCCTTGGTTTGAGAAAAAATATTAATATTTATTTTTCTCTCCTAATTATGCTAATATATGTATTGTTCTTGTGATTGACAGGGTCCTGCGTTGACCGGTCTGCGTAACCTTGGCAACACGTGTTACATGAACTCCACCATCCAGTGCCTCAATAACTGTACTCCACTCGTAGCCTACTTCCTTAACGACTTGTACCTGAACGACATCAACAGGTAAAACAAGTTACCATGGTTGGAAACACATATCTAATTATTTCACATGCCACTGATACCATTATAATGAAAATAATGAGAATATGTCTATTTATGATGTGCTAAATACAACCCCTAAACATGCTTCCAGTCAGTGTATCAGTGTGCACTTGAATTCTATTCTCAACTCCCTGGGGAGTATACAACCCAAGCTGCCTGTGAGGCCCTAGAAGAGTACCAGTCACATTACCTTAACACAGTGAGTGAGTGAGTGAGTATGGTTTTACGCCGCTTTTAGCAATATTCCAGCAATATCACGGTGGTTTCACACATTGTACCCATGTCGGGAATCAAACCCGGGTCTTCAGTGTGACGAGCGAACGCTTTATCACTAGGCTACCCGACCGCCCCCCTTAACACAGTACTGGGGACCGCCTCCGTGGTCTTGTGGTAGAGCGTCCGCCCGGAGAGCGGAAGGTCCAGGGTTCGATCCCGGGCCGCGTCATACAAAAAGACGTTAAAAGATTGTACTTGTTGTTACCCTGTCTGGCGCTCGGCATTAAGGGGCTAAAACAAGGACTGGTCGGCTCGGAGTCAGTATACTGTGTCTGAGTGGGGTATTCATGTTAAACTGCGGCATGGTATCTCAGTGAGCTAGCACTATAAATCGGCATCAGTCCGGACTAGTACAAGCAGCCACACACACACATACACGTGCATGCACGTCGCTATATAAGTGCAATAATCTTGGACGCGACGTTAAACCCAATTTCACCTCACCTCACAGTACTGGGTACCCATTTACGGCTGGACAGAGGAAGACCGCCTCCGTGGTCTAGTGGTAGAGCGTCCGCCCAGGGAGCGGAAGGTCCGGGCTTTGATCCCCGGCCAGGTCATACCAAAAGACGTTAAAAGATGGTACTTGTTGTTACCCTGTCTGGCACTCAGCATTAAGGGGCTAAAAGCAAGGACTGGTCAGCTCAGAGTCAGTATACTGTTGGGTATTCATGTTAAACTGCGGCATGGTATCTCAGTGGGCTAGCACTATAAATCGGCATCAGTCCGGACTAGTACAAGCAGCCACATACACACACACACGTACATGCACGTTGTTATAAAGTGCAATAATCTTAGACGCGACGTTAAACCCAATTTCACCTCACCTCACCTGAACAGAGGAATATTTCAGACAACGTCTGTTGCAACACCACATGTAACATGTGTTTCAGTGTGGCGCGTGACCGAAGCCCTAGAAATGCTCAGGAGTCAGGCTGTTGAAAACAGTCACAATCCACATTCTCTCTGCTTAATTTGGACTGATTTGTGGCCTATGATTTGTTATGATGTTATTATAGTTAAGATGACACATGTCTTACCCAGTTAGCTATGTGACATTTTCAACACCGAAGCAAAACTTCTGCAATTCTTTGTGCAGAGTTGTGTCCCTTTGGTGTGGCAGAATCCTATTGCCCTGATGTTTATGATTATTTGCCAGCACCATCCCCATGCTAATAGGTTTCCCCGACATCACCCATAGTAAACTGGCGTGCATGATATCACTGAAATCAGTGTTCAAAGGGGTGTTAAACCAAAGTCGCACTCTCATCATCATATTCCCAGTGGAGCCTATGGGTAGCTGACTGGTTGGTGCCAGTGGTTTGATAATTTAAAATAGTACCCACTTAGTTAGTGAGTAAGTATGGTTTTATGCAGCTGTAAGAAATATTCCAGCAATATCATGGCGAGGAACACTAAAAATGGGCTTCACACATTGTACCCATGTCGGGAATTGAACCCAGGTCTTCAGCGTGACGAGCGAACACTTTAACCACTACACTACCCCACCATCCTCTCCTAGTTTGTGTATTTAAAGGGCAAGTTCACACGGAAATTAACCAATTTTTCTTGTACTTTTTCCACATTAAAAGTGTTAACATAGAAGTGTCATAGACAAAAATATAAAAACATCATATTTAATTAACATATTTTTTGCATTAAAACGATTTATATTTTTCACATTTACCAAGTGTTCTATTTCCATAACAAAAACACCATGGCTTATGCCCCTTGCAATATGACGTCATTGGTGCCAATTGATAAACATTATGACGTCATCATGCTTTGATAGAGCCGCTTCACGTGGTGTAGGTACAGGTGTGTGATTCTAGCGTCTCAGATGCCAGCCAGCATAGTGTTATGCTGAGTCACTACTGCGCCGGAGTGTGTCGTAGACCATGTTGTTTGACCGCAAACTGGTCCTTGATATCTTTTGCGTTGAGAATAGACAGGGATCCAGTTGAATTGGCACCAATTACGTCATAATCTAAGGGGGATAACTCAGGCCTATTTCGCTCGTCAAACGAAGGCCTCATAACGGCATATCATTTTAACACTATTGTGAGCTTCCTACTTTCACTGTGAAAAAAAATGAGTGTATATTTTCAAACACAGATACTAATTAATTCTAAAATTGCGTTTTGTTTAGAAAAAGAAAGAAAGTGATTTTTGCGTGTACACTTCCCCTTTAAGTGGCATAACTGTCCTCATCATTGTCCTCATATTGTTCAATACTAAACTCGCTCTCTAAACTTCGCTCCCATGAAGAACTGGGATAGAACTGGTCTTCAGCAACCCATGCTTGTCGTAAGAGGTGACGAATAGGATCGGGCGGTCAGGCTCGCTGACTTGGTTGATGCATGTCATCGTATCCCAATTACGTGGATCAATGCTCATGATGTCAATCACTGGAGTGTCTGGTCCAGACTCGATTATTGACAGACCGCCATTACACAGCTGGAATATTGCTGAGTGCGGCGTTAAACAACAAACAAACAAGCAAACAAACATACTCCATACAGAAGAGACTATTTCTTCATTGAAGCAAACTATATCATGTCAATGATATTCATATGAGTGTCAGACTTCATGTGAAAACTTACGTTTTTTGTGTGAAATCAGTTAAAAACATCCGCTTATAACCTACGAGCTACATATGAGTGCGGTTCGCCCCAACTATGTTTCTAGGTTTGTCAGCACCATTCCTAGTCTATCCCCTGTTCGTGGGTTTCACCGAAGTGGTAAACTTCTAAGACCTGCATCACTATGGCTTTCCTCCCACATTAAGCTGACAGGCCGCGATATAACTGGAATACTGTTAAAAGCGGTGTTAAACCCGACTCACTCATTAACATATGAGTATCAGAATTAATGTATACCCATGAGTTATATTTGAAAAAATCAGTACAAAACGTCCACTTATAAGATAACTGGAGAATAACCTACAAGCTTCAAAGAATTACAGATTATCTGTCCTGATTGAATGAACGGTCGTCAAGTCCCAAGCTATGTCTAGGGACTTAGAGCAGTCATTAACAAGGGGCAGATAATCCACAATTCGGAGTATTGAGTACGTTTTTCTGTATATAATTCATTAACATTTTAAGAGAGAAAATGAAAAATGTATGAAATTTCAACCCCCCAGAGAAACTTCACTGACGGCAGTCTATTGTTCAGGTGACGTCATGTAATCAGTTTTGACATCATGATCAACAGTGGAGGTCGGGTAGCCTAGTGGTTAAAGCGTTCGGTCGTCACGCCGAAGACCCGGGTTCGAATCCCGACATGGGTACAATGTGTGCTGCCCATTTCTGGTGTCCCCCGCCGTGATATTGCTGGAATATTGCTAAAAGCGGCGTAAAACCAAACTCACTCACTCTCTCACTCATGATCAACATATTTTTCTCAACATTGAAGCACTGTGACGTATATGGCTTCAGTGTTGAGAATTTCCTAACTGCATGTGCATTTGAAAATATTGGAAAGTTCTTAAACAATCATGTACCCTTATGTGATAATGTCTAGATGTTATAAGCATGATAGGGGCGGTCTGGTAGCCTAGTGGTTAAAGCGTTCGCTCGTCACGCCAAAGACCTGGGTTCGATTCCCGACATGGGTACAATGTGTGAAGCCCGTGTCTGAAATGCCCTGCTTGGTGTTGTCAGGGAGAGCTCAGAAGGCATGCATGGTGAGATGGTGGACGACTATGCTATTGTCCTGAAGGCATTGTGGAAAGGCCAGTACAGATGCATCACGCCCAGAGATCTGAAGGTAGGACACTGAACGTAGACAAAGTGCTATTAATGCTAGCTTCCATGGTAATGTGGCTGTCAAGTTAACTGTTTTGGTTAGAGGAATGGTTTTGTCATTCGGACCTATTCGAATCAAGTATTTAATCATCTGGTGTACGTTGTTGCAGAATTTCTGTAGAGTGAAGAGGGAACTATTTGTACTCTGTCCTGTCATCCTCTGTTATAGAACACAGTAGGGAAGTACAACCCCATGTTTGCCGGGTACCAGCAGCAGGACTCGCAGGAGTTCCTCACCTTCCTCCTGGATGGACTCCACGAGGGGCTGAACGAGGTGAGTAGCGGGGTGAACATAGGGGTTTAACAGGGGAAGTCGCAGGGCTGAACATAGCGGTATAACAGGGGTAGTAGTGGGTCTGAACATAGCGGTATAACAGGGGTAGTAGTGGGTCTGAACATAGCGGTATAACAGGGGTAGTAGTGGGTCTGAACATAGCGGTATAACAGGGGTAGTAGTGGGTCTGAACATAGCAGTATAACAGGGGTAGTAGTGGGTCTAAACGTACAGGTTTAACAGGGAGAGTCGCAGGGCTGAACGTAGGGCTGAACGAGGTGAGTAGCGGGGTGAACGTAGGGGTATAACAGGGGAATTAGCTGGTCTGAACATAGCGGTATAACAGGGGTAGTAGTGGGTCTAAACGTACGGGTTTAACAGGGAGAGTCGCAGGGCTGAACGTATGGCTGAACATAGGGGCTGAACATAGGGGCTGAACGAGGTGAGTAGCGGGGTGAACGTAGGGGTATAACAGGGGAAGTAGCGAGGCTGAACATAGGGGTTTAACAGAGGAAGTAGCGGGGTGAACGTAGGGGTTTAACAGGGGAAGTAGTGGGTCTGAACATAGCGGTATAACAGGGGTAGTAGTGGGTCTAAACGTACGGGTTTAACAGGGAAAGTCGCAGGGCTGAACGTAGGGGTTTAACGGGATGTCCCGGGGCTGAACGTAGGGGTTTAACAGAGGAAGTAGCGGGGCTGAACATAGGGGTTTAACAGAGGAAGTAGCGGGGCTGAACATAGGGGTTTAACAGAGGAAGTAGCGGGGTGAATGTAGGGGTTTAACAGAGGAAGTAGCAGGGATGAACATAGGGGTTTAACAGGGGTAGTAGTGGGTCTAAACATATGGGTTTAACAGAGGAAGTAGCGGGGCTGAACATAGGGGTTTAACAGGGGAAGTAGCGGGGCTGAACATAGGGGTATAACAGGGGAAGTCGTGGGGCTGAACATAGGGGTTTAACAGGGGAAGTAGCGGGGCTGAACATAGGGGTTTAACAGGGGAAGTCGCGGGTCTAAACGTACGGGTTTAACAGGGGAAGTCGCAGGGCTGAACGTATGGCTGAACATAGGGGTTTAACAGAGGAAGTAGTGGGTCTGAACATAGGGTTTAACAGAGGAAGTCGCAGGGCTGAACGTTTGGCTGAACGTAGGGGTTTAACAGAGGAAGTCGCGGGGCTGAACGTAGGGGTAAAACTGAGGAAGTCGCGGGGCTGAACATAGGGTTTAACAGGGGAATTAGCGGTGCTGAACGTAGGGGTTTAACAGGGGAAGTAGCAGAGCTGAACATAGGGGTTTAACAGGGGAAGTTGCAGGGCTGAACATAGGGGTTTAACAGGGGAAGTAGTGGGTCTGAACATAGCGGTATAACAGGGGATGTTGCGGGGCTGAACGTATGGCTGAACAGAGGGGTTTAACAGGGGAAGTTGCACGGCTGAACATAGGGTTTAACAGGGGAAGTCGCAGGGCTGAACATAGGGTTTAACAGGGGAAGTTGCAGGGCTGAACATAGGGTTTAACAGGGGGAGTTGCAGGGCTGAACGTAGGGTTTAACAGGGGAAGTCGCAGGGCTAAACATAGGGTTTAACAGGGGAAGTAGCGGTGCTGAACGTAGGGGTTTAACGGGATGTTGCAGGGCTGAACGTAGGGGTATAACAGGGGATGTCGCGGAGCTGAACATAGGGGTTTAACAGGGGATGTTGCAGGGCTGAACATAGGGGTTTAACAGGGGATGTAGCAGAGCTGAACATAGGGGTTTAACAGGGGATGTTGCAGGGCTGAACATAGGGGTTTAACAGGGGATGTCGCGGAGCTGAAAATAGGGGTTTAACAGGGGATGTTGCAGAGCTGAACGTAGGGGTTTTAACAGGGGATGTCGCGGAGCTGAACATAGGGGTTTAACAGGGGATGTTGCAGGGCTGAACGTAGGGGTTTAACAGGGGATGTCACGGAGCTGAAAATAGGGGTTTAACAGGGGATGTTGCAGGGCTGAACGTAGGGGTTTAACAGGGGATGTCGCAGAGCTGAACATAGGGGTTTAACAGGGGATGTCGCGGAACTGAACATAGGTGTATAACAGGGGATGTTGCGGGGCTGAACGTAGGGGTATAACAGGGGATGTTGCTGGGCTGATCATAGGGGTTTAACAGGGGATGTCGCGGGGCTGAACATAGGGGTATAACAGGGGAAGTTGCAGGGCTGAACGTAGGGGTTTTACGAGATGAGTAGTTGGCAGAACATAGGGGTTAGTTTCTCAGCAATATGTAAGGACTGGATGTAGGGTTGCATATTGTCCGAATTTCTGGACTAGGGAGAGGGACTGTTAACAGGGACTGAACAAGGTTAGTAGTCGGGCTCTGAATGAGAAATGTAGTAAAATTATTAGTTACCAATTACATAAAAGACTCTGACAGAACTAACATATTGGCCACTTTGTTGTGTAGACAGATGATTATTTGTCCTAGGTGAAAGTTCGACCCAAGATACGAGAGCAGGAGAACGACCATCTGCCGGACAACCGGGCAGCAGAGCTGGCCTGGCAAGACCACAAACGTCTGCACAAGTCCATCATTGTTGAACTCTTCCAGGTAATGTGTCCTGTGTCTGATAGTAGCGGTGGGGTAGCCTTGTGGTTTAAATATCGACTCATTACGTCGAGGACCTAGGTGTGTATCCCCACATGGATATGTAGCAACCATCACATTTTTAAATGCCCTGATGGGGTTCGATCCAGGGTTCTTCTGATCCAAGTTGTGCAGGCTAATTCTATAGCCATGACAGCAAGAGACAGCATATTTCATTGTGAATATTTGTTTGTTTTTCGCACTCACCAATATTCTAGCCATATGAAGGTGGTCTGTAAATAAATTGAGTCCGGACCAGACATTCCAATCCAGTGATTGACATCATGATCATGGATCTACGCAATTGGGATACAATGACCTGCATCAACTAAGTCAGCAAGCTTGACCACCAGATCCTGTTAGTCGCCTTTTACGACTAGCATGAGTTGCTAAAGACCAGTAATATCCCGAATCTCCATGGGTTTCATTGTGAATAAAAAAGATCTTTCTTTTAGATGGCAGTTAGTACAGTTCTTGTGATCCATCATTATGTTTGGAAATATGTACAGGGATTCATCTGGACCTGCTCAGAAACCCATATTTGGCCCCAAGCTGCAACAAATGTCATTAAAAATTCCCACAACAGAATTAAGAACAATCTCATTAAAATCCGATCTTAGTTCTCGCTACCTCTAAACAAAGATCTGAGGCATCCCGTTACAGGTCATGTCAGACCGACCTTGCGCGAACTTTGACCGACCAATGAAATGACTGACAAGAAGTCCACATTAGACAATCAGAAGGCAGCTTTCTCGTGCTTTACGGCACTAATTTCAAATTGGCGACAACGCTTCGAAACATATTTTGACAAATTCTCGATAAAATATTTGAAGCCTAAACAAAAAAACACTCTGGAATGGCTAATAGATGGTCTAGATTGTATGGATTCAGTCGTTAAGCCCGTAACTATCGTTCGGGATACCTTGTGTTAAAGTTTTCAAGGTTGCAAGGTTAGAAATCACATTCCGACTGTCCCTTTTATGATCTGGTAAGCAACGCTCTGATTGGTCGGATGAAAGGTCGTTCTGACGTGGGATGTCATCGGACCTTAGTTCTCGCTTATTGAATTAAGAATTTCATGTTAATATCTAAAAGCTAATGTTATGTCATTGTAGATGTGCCCTGTATTTCAATTAATGGTGGGACGATACACTGATGCATCAGTGGATGGCGATATTTTACTTCCCAATACAAGTATTGATCACAGTCACACACTAAGTAAAAAATATCGATTTAAACGTTTACTTTTTCATCCATTGCGCCATACTTCGTCAGTGTGCTAAGTATTTGACTATCGTGTCTATGAAAAAGATGGCTTACGCACCACATATAAGAGCAGATACTATTGTGATATGTATTGAATCCTGAACAAGGTAAAGTGATACATATCAGATCGCACAGTTGGTGTATCGTCCCAGCTCTAATTTCAATACTATATCATTATGAGATTGCTTCTACCAACAGGGCCAGTTGAAGTCCACGCTGCAGTGTAAACACTGTGGCAAGAAGTCAGTGACGTTCCAGGCGTTCATGTTTCTCTCTCTGCCTCTCCCACCACAGTCCAAGTGTTCTCTACGGGTGAGTACGAGCAACAGGCCCTCAAACTCTCAGACAGAAATTAAGGGGAGTTAAAGAGCCTAGTGAATGGCTCCATCTTCAGCTCAACATGGGGTTCAATCTGCCGGGAAGCAGAAGCTGTGTGACTCAATCCCAAAGCTGTGTCTTACCGCGTCATACCAAAGACGTTAAAACTTGTTGTTTCCCTGCCTTGTGGATGACTCCATCTTCAGCTCAACATGAAGCTCTGTGGTTCGATCCCCAGCTGTGTCTTACCGCGTCATCGAACCCGGGTCTTCAGTGTGACGAGGGAATGCTTTACCACTTGGTTACCCGACCGCCCCCCTTAACACAGTACTGGGTACCCATTTATGGCTGAACAGAGGAATATTTCGAACAAAGTCTCTTGCAACACCACATGTAACATGTGTTTCAGTGTTGGGCAGGACCGAAGCCCTAGAAATGTTAAACTTAGGGGCAGTCGGGTAGCCTAGTGGTTAAAGCGCTCGCTCGTCACGCCGAAGACCCAGGTTCAATTTCTGACAAGGGTACAATGTGGGAAGCCCATTTCTGGTGTCCCCCGCCGTGATATTGCTGGAATATTGCTAAAAGCAGAGTAAAACCATACTCACTCACTCCCATTTTAAACTTCGTTATGGTATCTCAGTAAGTTAACACTGTAAACTCGGCAATTTAAATCCAGACTAGTACAACCAGCCACACCAATATGCCTGGCCATTGTTATATGAGTGAAAAAATCGCCAATGAGACGTTAAACCCCAGTTCACCTGACCTCACCACATGCCATGGGGCGGTCGGGTAGCCTAGTGGTTAAAGCATTTGCTCGTCGTGCTTAAGACCCGAGTTCGATTCCCGACATGGGTACAATGTGGGAAGCCCATTTCTGGTGTCCCCCGCCGTGATATTGCTGGAATATTGCTAAAAGTGGCGAAAAAACATAAACACTCACTCCTATGTTAAACTTCGTTATGGTATCTCAGTAAGTTAACACTGTAAACTCGCCATAAATCCAGACTAGTACAACCAGCCACACCCATATGCATGGCCATTGTTATATAAGCGAAAAAAAACGTTAAACCCCAGTTCACCTGACCTTACCACATGCCGTTGGGCTTTGTCTGTTGGTTCCCCGTCAGCTCTAAACTTTACTCTTCTCCCACACTATTGTTTTTTGGTGTGTTTTTTTTTATCCTCATGACCTTTTGTTTGTTTGCTTGTTGTTTAACGCCGCCCTTAGCAATATTCAAGCTATGTGACGGCGGTCTGTAAATAAACAAGTCTGGACCAGACAAGCCAGTGATTGACATCATGAGCATCAACCCACGCAATTGGGATACGATGACATGTATCAACCAAGTCAGCAAGCCTGACCACCCAATCCCTCTAGTCGCCTCTTACCAAGCATAATCGCCTTTTATGGCAAGCACGGGTTGCTGAAGACCTATACTACCCCGGATCTTCACGTGGGAGACAAGCATGGGTTCCTGAAGACCTATTCTACCCCGGATGTTCACGGGGGAGACAAGCATGGGTTCCTGAAGACCTATTCTACCCCGGATGTTCACGGGGGAGACAAGCATGGGTTGCTGAAGACCTATTCTACCCTGTATATTCTTATTCTTACAAGGACCAAGTTAATTAATCACTGTTTCCTGCAGGAGTGTATCCAGAAGTTCATCAGCCCGGAGATGATGACAGGCAGCTGTAAGTGGAAGTGCCCCAAGTGTCGCGTCGAGAGAGATGCTGTCAAGAAAATCGACATCTGGAAGCTTCCTCCCATTCTGCTCATCGGTCTCAACAGGTTAGTAGATTTTCACATGTGCTTTGTTTCATCAAACAGGGATTTATCTTGACCTTCTCAGAGGCCAATTCAGACCTAAATCTTCAGCAAAAAGTAACAATTACCAATCACTATCTTACAAATAGCAAGGTGCTTGTATGCTTGAAAAGCGTTGAGACCTGTGAAGATCCGGGGTAGAATTGGTCTTTAGCAACTCATGTTTGCCGTAAAAGGCGACAATGCTTGTCGTAAGAGGTGTTTAATGGGATTGGGTGGTCAGGCTCGCTGACTTGGTTGATGCATGACATCATATCCCAACTGCGTGGATCGATGCTCAGGACGTCATCACTGGATTGTCTGGTCCAGACTCGATTATTTACAGACCTCCGTCATATAGCTGGAATATTGCTGAGTGCGGCGTAAAACAACAAACAAAACATTGTGTTGTACTTCAGATTTGTGAGTGACGGGATGTGGACCCAGAAATCGACGAGCTACGTGGACTTCCCCGTGGGAGACCTGGACATGCGAGAATACGTCAGTGACCCCAAGTCCACCACGAAGTACAACCTGTATGGCATCTCGGTAAGTCCCACCTGTAGTATACAATCCGCCATGTTGCTAAGACGTGCACAAGCTCCTTCCTTAGTAACGGTTTCGAAGTTGTTCAGCCACCATTTTCAGCTGTGAAATTTTCAGGGCGTTAGAGGGGCTTGTCTCACACAAGTCCTTGTAATAATAAACTTAGTAAATAGTAAATGTCACTTTCAGTTTCCAAAGTTAATGAAAATTACGACACATCTGTCGAAATCTGGCCCCGATGACACTGATGAGGTTGCTGCACGCCATTATGGAACTTCCATTTTAATCATTTTATGTTTTCATTTTATAATAATAATAATAATAATTGATTTGTAAAGTGCCTAATATCCATCCATCGACAATTGCTCACTGGCGCTGTGACAAAGTTAAAAAGTAATGTCTGTGTACATATGCCAACAATCAGGAGATCTATTGTAAAGCTGAAGTGAAGAATTGGGTTTTGAGGAGAGACTTAAACGTTTCCTTAGAGGCAGAGTTTCTCAGATTCAAAGGCAAAGAGATCTTTGCGATAGTCTGGATAGTCGCTATTGTTGAGGCAGTCGTGAGTGATGATACATATCTTATAGTTTATACGAAAGGAGACTGGAAGCCAATGTAGTGCTTTGAGGACAGGACTGATGTGATTGGATCTTGGAACTTTAGAGATGCATCTAGCTGCAGAGTTCTGAATGGGTTGTAGCTTTGATATGGCCTTCATGGGAAGATTAGCATACAATGCATTGCAGTAATCCAGTTTGGAGGTCACAAGACATTGCATCAACAATTTAACTGTTGGGAGTACCAAGTAGATGGCGGACTTTATTGATGTTATAGATGCTATGGTAGCATGCTCTACTGGTTAGTGAAATATGAGTGTCCATGGCCATTGTTGAATCAAAGGTGATTCCCAGATTACAGGCACTGGCCTATTGTGAGTTTTAAATCTCTATTTTTCCATACTGTCGCATGTCACTGGAAGCATCAAACAAAGATGGCTGACAGGTATCTGGTATAATGCAAGTATACCCAACTTTCTTGTGTCTCAGATTGGGTGATTCATCTTCTTATTAGATTAGCTGAACCGAGTGTAAACAAACGAAAAAATAAATGTGGTTATCTATGGACAATGGGCTGCGGGTGTAACAGGATGAAACATTCTCTGGCCAGTTCTTCCCCGAGGAAGGTTCGGTCTAGGTCAGTTCGTCCCCAGTGAGGTTCGGCCTAGGGTGGTTCAGCACCAACCCTGGCCAGACTTTTTCCCCATCAAATGGAGGTGGGGAAGGTTCAGCCTAGACCAGCCTAGCCAGTTCTATCTCTCCTAGGCCAGTTCTTCCCCTCTCTTGGCCCCAACCTAGGCCATACTTCCACAGGTCTTCAAACATGTACTGACATGGGGACAGAATTTTCTATGCCTATTCTCTTCCCTGGATTTTTCATTTATTTTTAGCTTTCTTATGTGTGGCATTGTTTCTAGCATGTGCAGTGAACTTGACATTACATTACAAAAAACTCCAATATGTGCCGATAAAAATATGTGACTTTATTAAAGCAATCAAGGATAACTCGCATTTTCCTAATAAATTTCATGTTTGCATTAATTCACTGAAGGAAGGTGAGCTTCTGTACCTGTGTTATTTTCGTGTTTCAGAATCACTATGGAACCATGGAAGGAGGCCACTGTAAGTTGTTTGAAGGACTGGGAAAAATGAATATATTTCCAGACATTGTGATCCATATTTCTGTATGCTTCACGAAGTGTTTTTGTAAGGGAGCACTGTTGTCCGGGTGTTCTAATGTGCCACAATTCTATATGGAACTCTCAGTTATATTGCTGGCAAAAGTGCGGTTTAACGACTGTAGCTTTTAGTGCCAGCTGGCTTTGGCTGCTTGACTGATTTTGTGTGCCTGTTAGATTCACCGGGTTAGTTGTGGTAGGGTTAGTGTAGTGAACACACAACTTTACCCCTTGGATCCCTTTCTGATGAAACGCCTTCACGATCCCAAGGGTTAGCTGTGGTAGGGTTAGTGTAGTTAACACACAACTTTACCCCTTGGATCCCTTTCTGATCAAACGCCTTCACAATCCCAAGGGTTAGCTGTGGTAGGGTTAGTGTAGTGAACACACAACTTTACCCCTTGGATCCCTTTCTGATCAAACGCCTTCACAATCCCAAGGGTTAGCTGTGGTAGGGTTAGTGTAGTGAACACACAACTTTACCCCTTGGATCCCTTTCTGATCGAACACCTTCACGATCCCAAGGGTTAGCTGTGGTAGGGTTAGTGTTGTGAACACACAACTTTACCCCTTGGATCCCTTTCTGATCAAACGCCTTCACGATCCCAAGGGTTAGCTGTGGTAGGGTTAGTGTTGTGAACACACAACTTTACCCCTTGGATCCCTTTCTGATCAAACGCCTTCACGATCCCAAGGGTTAGTTGTGAGTTGGGTATAGATTAGCTATCTCACCTCCTGTAACCAATTAATCAAATTGCCAGTCAACAGAGTAAACATATAAACTGTGTGTTGTTTTTGTTAAAACACTGTTTAATGTCTTTACGGAAGTGCTCTACTCAGCATGCTCAGCACTAATAAGTGTATTTGTTGTTTGATTTGATTGAGGTAAGGATATGTATCATTCCACTGGGGATGGGTTGGGGAATCGCATTTTTGGTTAGGCGTCAGCAGTCGTATTCATTTGGAGAAGAATTAATTTCAAGATTTACAGTATTTTATTGCTAAATAGGGTTTTCAGTTTGCAATAAAAATAAGAGCCCAATTAGTTGAGAAATAGTATTTTTTTCAACTTTCCTGTTTTTTAACAGTTGATTGATCTGTTAACCATTCAATAACAAAAAAACACCTGAAGATATTTCATCTATTATTTAATTGTATGACTACCTATTTGAGTGTATTCATCCTTCGGTGATGCCGCGTCCGCCCGGAGAGCGGAAGGTCCGGGGTTCGATCCCCGGCCGCGTCATACCAAAAGACGTTAAAAGATGGAACTTGTTGTTACCCTGTCTGGCGCTCAGCATTAAGGGGCTAAAACAAGGACTGGTCAGCTCGGAGTCAGTATACTGTGTCTGAGTGGGGTATTCATGTTATACTGCGGCATGGTTTCTTAGTGAGCTAGCACTATAAATTGGCATCAGTCTGGACTAGTACAAGCAGCCACACACACACACACGTACATGCACGTCGCTATAAAAGTGGAATAATCTTGGACGCGATGTTAAACCCCATTTCACCTCACCTCACCTTTGGTGATGACAGGAGACTGGCCAACATGAGATGTTGTTTAATGCTATCCCAGCTGCATGTGTATTATGATGGGGGCCTGTATTTAATTGAGTGGACCAGACAATCTAGTGATCGATATTGTGAAGGCATGAAACACAACTCACTCACTCACTTATTCCCTTTCCAGACACAGCGTACTGTCGGAACCCCTGCACCAAGAAATGGTACAAATACGATGACCACGAGGTGTACGAAATGTCAAGTTCCAATGTCAAGGTAACTTTTTATCGATGCAGTGTTTTTAAATTTAGAGGGGTCCTGAGCTCTTTGAATCAAGGGACCCACTAGTTTGGACTTTTAACATTAAAGGTTTATGACAACCACCCCTTATCATTCACTCTTAATTTCAAATTTGGCTAGTTTACTAGTCAAAATGTAGCGAGTATGGTGAAGATTAGATTTTCATTTTCACACTGACATTTGGATTGTAGAGAAGGCCTCCAGTAGGGGTGAAATGATCGTGAGTTTACATGTGACGATATGATACATGATATGGTTTTTTTCTGTATCGATACAAGACAATACACTTGCTAAAATAAATTACAGTCCGTTAATCTGACATGGTTGGTTACATATGATTATGTCGGATTAACGAGTATGTCACCTGTGTGTGAGTTGTTGCTTGTATGCAAACAATTGGTCTCATTCAAATCACGTCTTTCACTGAAACTGAGACCCATGAAGAACAGTCACTCAGCATCTTCTAAAGCTTCTAATTTCTCGGTACACTTGAGCAAAACATTCAGACAAGCACATCAGATTTCTGTATCATGAAGACGAATGCAAAAACAGAAAGCTGTTGTTTCTGAGGGCGGGGCATCAACACCCAAAAGGGTGTATTATCAAGGGTATATTTATATTAATAAGGGTGATTTTCTTTTGCTGAAATTGAAATTTCGAGTCAATGAGATAATATAGAAATCTAAGATCTGACAGTTCAAGAACCCTCACGTCTTTCATTTAGATTAAGCGCTCGAATTTCATTCGGGGTTCACCTGACACAATCTTTTATGGACGTGTCTTCGGGCCATCATTCAGAGACATATCATATCGGAGAAAATATTTTGAGATGGAACTATTAGTCCGCTAGGCCCAGACTGGATTATGTATAAGGCTAAAAAAAATAATAGTCTTGGTTCTCAGGCACCACCCGATCGACATAGAGTCTGCCGCACGTTTTGTTTTTATTTCCAATTTTTAAAAAAATATAAAAATCCTAATACTTGAACACAATGCACACAAAAAATTGAAAATGGAAACAAAAACGAAACGTGCAATGAACTTTATGATGATGTGGGCAGTGCCTGAGAACCAAGACTATTATTTTTTTTTAGCCTTAGCTGTTCTGATTTAGTTGTATTGAAGGTGACTGTGACATACGCTATCCATATGTTAAGAATGACTTTATATTAGGTTGATGGTGTGTCATCATACCAGACAGCATGGATCGTGTCTCACAATATCAATCACTGGATTGTCAGGTCCAGACTGGAGTATTTGCAGACCACCGTTATATAGCTGGAATATTGCTGAGTGCAGTGTTAAACAACAAACACACGTGTCGTGGAAATAGATTGTTGTGCAGTGGCTGTAATGGTGGTAATAGTGGTGCCGAAATAAATGGCGGTAAATGATTTGAGTCAACCACGGTATACAGATTATCTAGTTACGTTATCCATTTGCAGCATCTGTTCATAATCCTGAAGATCCAGGTTAAATTCCTGGACATGAGTAAGAGGTGTTCTTGGTTTGCTGGAATCTCTTTATCAATCATATTTTATTTTCGTTGCAGACATCGGCCGCCTTTGTACTGTACTACACGTCCATAGAGCTGACAGCACCTAAATACAGCCCTCAGCTGTAGAGCTGACAGCACCTAAATACAGCCCTCAGCTGTAGAGCTGACAGCACCTAAATACAGCCCTCAGCTGTAGAGCTGACAGCACCTAAATACAGCCCTCAGCTGTAGAGCTGACAGCACCTAAATACAGCCCTCAGCTGTAGAGCTGACAGCACCTAAATACAGCCCTCAGCTGTAGAGCTGACAGCACCTAAATACAGCCCTCAGCTGTAGAGCTGACAGCACCTAAATACAGCCCTCAGCTGTAGAGCTGACAGCACCTAAATACAGCCCCCAGCTGTAGAGCTGACAGCACCTAAATACAGCCCTCAGCTGTAGAGCTGACAGCACCTAAATACAGCCCTCAGCTGTAGAGCTGACAGCACCTAAATACAGCCCTCAGCTGTAGAGCTGACAGCACCTAAATACAGCCCTCAGCTGTAGAGCTGACAGCACCTAAATACAGCCCTCAGCTGTAGAGCTGACAGCACCTAAATACAGCCCCCAGCTGTAGAGCTGACAGCACCTAAATACAGCCCTCAGCTGTAGAGCTGACAGCACCTAAATACAGCCCTCAGCTGTAGAGCTGACAGCACCTAAATACAGCCCTCAGCTGTAGAGCTGACAGCACCTAAATACAGCCCCCAGCTGTAGAGCTGACAGCACCTAAATACAGCCCTCAGCTGTAGAGCTGACAGCACCTAAATACAGCCCTCAGCTGTAGAGCTGACAGCACCTAAATACAGCCCTCAGCTGTAGAGCTGACAGCACCTAAATACAGCCCTCAGCTGTAGAGCTGACAGCACCTAAATACAGCCCCCAGCTGTAGAGCTGACAGCACCTAAATACAGCCCTCAGCTGTAGAGCTGACAGCACCTAAATACAGCCCTCAGCTGTAGAGCTGACAGCACCTAAATACAGCCCTCAGCTGTAGAGCTGACAGCACCTAAATACAGCCCTCAGCTGTAGAGCTGACAGCACCTAAATACAGCCCTCAGCTGTAGAGCTGACAGCACCTAAATACAGCCCCCAGCTGTAGAGCTGACAGCACCTAAATACAGCCCCCAGCTGTAGAGCTGACAGCACCTAAATACAGCCCCCAGCTGTAGAGCTGACAGCACCTAAATACAGCCCTCAGCTGTAGAGCTGACAGCACCTAAATACAGCCCTCAGCTGTAGAGCTGACAGCACCTAAATACAGCCTTCAGCTGTAGAGCTGACAGCACCTAAATACAGCCCTCAGCTGTAGAGCTGACAGCACCTAAATACAGCCCTCAGCTGTAGAGCTGACAGCACCTAAATACAGCCCTCAGCTGTAGAGCTGACAGCACCTAAATACAGCCCTCAGCTGTAGAGCTGACAGCATCTGAATACAGCCCACAGCTGTAGAGCTGACAGCACCTAAATACAGCCCTCAGCTGTAGAGCTGACAGCATCTGAATACAGCCCCAATCTGTAGAGCCAACAGCCATACAGCTGACTTCTAAATACAGCCCTCAGCCGTACAGCTGACATGTCTTAAATACAGCCCTCAGCTGTGCAGCTGACAGCACTTAAATACAGCCCTCAGCCGTACAGCTGGCTTCTAAATACAGCCCTCAGCCGTACAGCTGACAACATTTAAATACAGCCCTCAGATGTAGAGCTGCTGACTTCTAGATACAGCCCCCAGCTGTAGATCTGACAGCTTCTTAATACACCCCTCAGCTGTACAGCTGACAACATTTAAATATAGCCCTCAGCTGTACAGCTGACTTTTAAATACAGCCTCTGCTGTAGAGCTTACTTCTAAATAATGCCCTCAGCCGTACAGCTGACAACATTTAAATACAGCCCCCAGCTGTACAGCTGGCGGCATCTGAATGTCGTGCAGCTCCGTGGCCATCACCACCAGATGTCAGACTTGATCTACATCACTGGGCGGAAGGTGGAAACCAATCTGATTGGTCATGAAGTGCAACACTAAACATTACAAGTGAAACAATGTAGAACCTGGGAGATCCGCTCGGAGAGGACAAATAGACTCATCACGTGACCAAGCCATCTCCTGGTCCATGACCTGACCGCTGTTTACTTACCTTCTCATCCGCCCTTGTCTCAGCGTTCACGATTTTCTCTTTTGTTGATAAGTCCAAGGACAACTTGATGGTTACTCAGCAAAGTTTTCACTATTTAGATCTGGCTATATTGTGTTTCTGGATGTGTCTGCTTAATTCTAGCAATATGTGTGTCTAGTGTCTGAGCTACCATGCAAGATGAGGGCTCTCACTTCGTCACATGCCCATCTCGGGTGGTCAGACTCGCTGACTTGGTTGATGCATGTCATCGATCCCAATTTCGTGGATCGATGCTCATGATATTAATCACTGGATTGTCTGGTTCAGACTAGATTATTTACAGACTGCCGTCATATAGCTGGAATATATGCGGCGTGACGATCCATGCACTCAATTACCAGGTGCCCATTTTCAGTCTATATCTTGACATTTATCCCATCAGACACAGAATGTAATGTTTTGCAAAGGACGCAATAAATAAAATGTTAGATTCTCATAAAAAATATGAGGCGGGAGGCATTTTTGCCTTTGTATATATTTTGTAAGCAGCTGTTCAAGGCATTTGTGTATATTAAGTGTCAATGGGTGTGATTCACTGGAAGAATGGATGAGTGGTAACATGGCAAGTAAACAAGTAAACAGCAAGTAAACAAGTAAACAGATGGGAACACGGTGCATTTCTTCATTTGTAGCAGGCATCCCAGCATTCCTATAATTCCCATAAATTCCTATATTTTTAAACTTCCCCTGTATTTCCCTAGAACTTGTGTTTTATCCCTATAATTCCTACATTTTTATGCACTACTGACTTCTGTGAAATCAATGCTTTAGAGTTGATTTTTGAAGGAGTGAGTGAGTGAGTATGGTTTTACACCACTTTAAGCAATGTTCCAGCAATATCACGGCGGGGGACACCAGAAATGGGCTTCACACATTGTACCCATGTACACATCGAACCCGGGTCTTTGGTGTGACGAGCGAACACTTTAACCACTAGGCTACCCCACCGTCCCTATTTTGAAGGAATAGAAACAAATGCTAATGATGTATTCCTGTCATGTCTCTGCACTGAAGTTGGTATACAGAGATTGTTTATAAGGAAGCTTCCAGTGCAGAGAAATATAGAGAGAGAGAGTATGTACATCGGCAGTTAACAAACCTGTATCTGGGCTGTACAGGTTTCCATTATACAGCTGAACCTTTAATTGTAAGTCAAGGAAAATTCCTATAAGACCCCTATATTTTTCAAAATATCCCTATGTTTCCCCAATTTTTTTTTTTTTTTGTCTCTATATTTTAGCAGGGGGCCCAGGTGGCCCAGTCGTCTAAGGCGCCACGATTCGCTGTACAGAGTTGCGTCCCTTGATTACCTATGATTGTGGGTTCAAATCCCGGTTCGCCTCGATTATGTTTCTAGGTTTGTCAGCACCATACCGGTGCTCGTGGGTTTCACCGAAGTGGTAAACATCTGAGACCTGCATCACTTCGGGCTCTCCTTCCACATTAAGCTGAAACGCTGCGATATAACTGGAATACTGTTAAAAGCGGCGTTAAACCCAACTCACTCACTCACTCACTCACTCACTCACTCACTCACTCACTATAGTTTAGCAAAGGTTGCTGGGAGGCCTGTTTGTTGTTATATACTGACAATAAATGATGGGAGGAGTGTTGGGGTGTTTGGTTGTGAAGCGGGCAGGTATGAAAATCTGATGATTAATTCATTATGGCAAAGCATCCTCTGCAGTTGACAACCATTTTTCCATGGCAACCACACTGAACAGTTGGACATGATGGCATTTTTGCACTTCTGATTTGTAGTGTTGTATATTGCTCAGTGTTTGCTGAGTATTTAACAAAGTGAAAAACAAACAAGTTTTTCATTTTTAGCACTAGTAATCACCATTGTCAGCCGATGATACTATTTTTGTGTATACACACACACAGGTTTGGAGTGAGATTTTAAAGAGAATACCTACCAGGGAATGGATGTGGGTTTCAAGTCCACTCTAAGGCAGTTTCAGGACCTATCAGTGTGTATGGGAATATTTTTAAGCCCTCCAAACAGATATAAATAAATTGACTTCATGTTCCTGGGACATAGTCTAATTGTGACATGGATTCAGCTTTATTTTTTGGCAATTGTTAAATTTTTCTCATTTAAGGTCAGTTAGGTTTGTTAACCAATTCATGAAAGATCATAATGGTACTTTGTCTGTATCCTTGGCAAATATTAAGCAGAGAATTTATTATCCAGAAGAGTTTCATCATATTCTCATGGATAAAATATTTTAAATCTGTGTATTCGAAACACGCAGATATTAGCAGAAAAACACTACATAGTGGTCATGTCAAGTCAGCAGATTTACTAACAATTTGTGGGGGTGGTAGGCTAGCCTAGTGGTTAAAGCGTTCGCTCGTTACACCGAAGACCCGGGTTCGATTCCTGACATTGGTAAAATCTGTAAAGCCCATTTCTGGTATCCCCGCCGTGATATTGCTTGAATATTGCTAAAAGCGGTGTAAAACTATACTCACTCACTCACTGACAATTTGAGATTATAATTGACAAAGCGCTGGAGCTCTCTTCAAATGAGATAATCAAAACATGTAGGATGTGATCTGATAGTGTTTCTTTGAAAACATCCTCTCCACCTCCTTTCATCTCCACATAGTCTACATTAAATGCTTAAAAGTGAAAAATAATGGCCCATTATGCCATTTCCACAAAACTGTTGCATGTTGAAACATTTTGGTGTGTTTATAATGTTTGCCAGCATAGAGTGTTGCATTGTGACACAAGGACAATATTAGTTGTAGCAGGATCACTCGGGGTACATGGGGTTGTGATGCTGGACACAATAAACCCCATGTACCTTGAGTGATGCTGCTACAGCAAATTTATCTTGCCAACATGTTTTAGTATGGCATTGTCAAAGAATTATCACAAATTCAAAATTGATAGAATACATCTGTTTGAAATAGCTGAGGTTAGCTTGTGCTGGCACATGACTTCCATTGACTCGGGAAAAGCGTGCGTCTTTTTGCTTCGAAGCAGGGTATAAGGGATTTATTCTGCCTCACGGAAATCCACGTGCTGCCTGACTTGCTCCTGGTGGGGTATAAGGGATTTATTCTCCTGCTTAGAAACCTATTTCCCTCCAAGGTGGGATACATTGTATTTTATCAAGTTCACATGGACCAATTAGATCTCATCATTGAAACTTGGAGGGATGATAATCCTTTTAGGCCTTTATTTGTACATTACTGTACACACAGTAAGTCTTTCATTATCCCATGTCACAGCTCAATGTAAATGTTACTTTCCTTGAGACTTTTTGGGGCACCGGTGGCTCAGTCGTCTAAGGTGCTGCATTTCACTGTGCAGAGTTGCATCCCTTGGGTTTGTTAGAAATCTATGATCGAGGGTTCGAATCCCAGATTCATCCAGGTGATGTTTCCAGGTTTGTCAGCAGCAAACCTGTGCTTGTTGTTTTCGCTGAATTGGTAAATATCGAAAACCTGCATCACTTTTGGCTTTCCTCCCACATCAAGCTGACACGGGTTTTATAACTGAAATACTGTTCAAATTTATGTTAAACCCAACTTACACAATCTCTCGTAGATCTTCAAAATATATCACATGCTAACAAGGAGAAAGTTTACTGGTACACAATCTGATCCTGATCCAAGGGGAAGTAACTCTTCAAGATGTGTTGTTAATTTATATTGTATAACAGGTTGAGTTTGTAGAATTTTATGGAGTCCATCTTGTCATGCACACTAAACATGGTGGCATTTGGTTGTTATTATTTTGTGCCAATACAAGACACGAGGATTACGTCACCATCAAATTGTGATCACTTTGTCACCTCGTCACCACCTTGTCATTACCCTGTGGACACTGGGAGCTCACCATCTTGTCATTACCCTGTGGACACTGGGAGCTCACCATCTTGTCATTACCCTGTGGACACTGGGAGCTCACCATCTTGTCATTACCCTGTTGACACTGGGAGCTCACCATCTTGTCATTACCCTGTGGACACTGGGAGCTCACCATCTTGTCATTACCCTGTTGACACTGGGAGCTCACCATCTTGTCATTACCCTGTTGACACTGGGAGCTCACCATCTTGTCATTACCCTGTTGACACTGGGAGCTCACCATCTTGTCATTACCCTGTGGACACTGGGAGCTCACCATCTTGTCATTACCTTGTGGACACTGGGAGCTCACCCTCTTGTCATTACCCTGTGGACACTGGGAGCTCACCATCTTGTCATTACCCTGTGGACACTGGGAGCTCACCATCTTGTCATTACCCTGTGGACACTGGGAGCAAGGGCAATGGAACATAGGTTCTGTAGCTCACCTTCATGCTCCAACATTAACTTACACTGGAATGTTAA